TTGAGCAGTGATGCATTTGAGTAGTGATGCATTTGAGTAGTGATGCATTTGAGCAGTGATGCATTTGGGCAGTGATGCATTTGAGCAGTGATGCATTCGAATAGTGATGCATTTGAGTAGTGATGCATTTGAGCAGTGATGCATTCGAGCAGTGATGCATTCGAATAGTGATGCATTTGAGTAGTGATGCATTTGAGCAGTGATGCATTTGAGTAGTGATGCATTTGAGTAGTGATGCATTTGAGTAGTGATGCATTTGAGTAGTGATGCAAATCCACAGGAGACAAGAGCTGGCCGGGGATAGCTAAGTGGCATAGCGAGAAGGGGTGAGAGGCATTTTACGTCACTAAGGCATACTAAAAAAGGTGACACGACACACGCAACGTGAGATGGAGAAAGAGACAACATACGCCGTGCGCAGGCTCTCCGCGCCGTTGCTGGCGTCCAGATTGCCCTCCACCACGTAGATTGGGCGGCGAAGACCACAGTGTTGCGACGGAGAAAGGCATGGGGCAGAAAGGAGCAAGGGAAAAGAGAGCAAACGCATAAATACGGCCATAAGTAAGAGGAGGGGAAGATATGTGCAAAAAAGAAGGGAAGAAAAACACAGTGCCACATAGAAAAATCGCCAGTAATCAGAAGCATGCTCGTTCTCAGACTCTTCACTAGCAGGCTTGCACCCTGTCCCTCCTTCCCTCGCCCTCCATATTCCAAAACTGTCTCTCAGGCTCACCCACCTTGACCCTTAACTTCCAGTCCTTGCAAGTCAAATCCCTGCGATCCGTATCTTCAGTCCGTTCCAAGCCAACTCTCAATTTGAATATTAGCTGTTGGTCCCTTCAAGCCAACCCACCGAAATCCGCAGCTTCTGGTCCTTGAATTGACTCGCTTTGACATGACTTGATTGACCACCACATGTAATCCACTCGCTTGTGCTCTGCCACCCACTCCAAGCAGAACAGAGGACAGCAGAGCAGGGGAAGCGGAAGAGAGTAGCCGGTTCTTGAGAGTTCTCAAGAACCAGCTCGACCCACCTTGATCCTCAGCTTCTGGTCCTTAAATCGCTTTGACTTGATTGACTGCCACAAGTCATCCACTTGCTTGCGCTCCGCCACCCACTCCAAGCAGAACAGCGGTCCACCGGGCAGTGCAGGGGAGGCGGAAGAAGCAGGGAGGGCGGATGGGAGAACAGCAGAGGAGGGGGATGGTGGGACGGACGAAGGTGGAGAGGAGGAGGAGGTGGCAGGAGGTGCGGAGGATGAGGTGGGGGGAGTGAGAGGCTGAGCTACCCAGAGGGCATCGCCCACAGGCAGTGCAGCGACCTGATGGTGATGGCAACAGGTGGGAGTCGGGCAGGGAGGGAGCGGCGGAGTTTATAGTCGACTAAAAAATCCTCATGTGGCAGCAGGTGGAACGAGGCTGGGAGGGAGCGGGCAGGGAGTGAGGTGCGAAGGGCATAAGGAGGGGGAATGACAAAAAGAAGCAGGGCGTTAAGGGAGAGAGGCGGGTGGAAGGGGTAGGGCGTGAAGAAGCACGCAAGTAGGAGGGTAGAGAGTCAAATGCTGGGGATTACTCGTCGAAATGATTCCAGAAGTGGAAGGCAGTACAGCACGTACTCGTTATAAAGCCCAAACTCACCAAGGCCACTAGAAAGAAGGCAGAGAGGCAAGGCAGAGTGGCAAGGTACAGAGGCAAGGCACGGAGGCAAGGCACGGAGGCAAGGCACGGAGGCAAGCACCTGAGCTGGAAGCTTTTCCACTCTGGTGAGAAACTCCGTGAGCTGTGCTGCCCTGTTGGGAAGATGGAGAATGAGGGGAGAGAGAAATGCGGTGAGCTGGACTGCCCGGTCGCCAGATGAGCATGCGGAGAGGGAGTGTGGAGAAAAGTAAGGAGGGAAGATGGGAGTGGAAGAGCGGGGAGAAGTTGACAAAGATGTGAGGAAAGGGAGGACTGTTGAGCTTACAATGATGGAGGACTGTTGAGCTTACAATGATGGAGGACTGTTGAGCTTACAATGATGGAGGACTGTTGAGCTTACAATGATGGACTGTTGAGCTTACAATGATGGAGGGCTGTTGAGCTTACAATGATGGAGGGCTGTTGAGCTTACAATGATGGAGGACTGTTGAGCTTACAATGATGGAGGACTGTTGAGCTTACAATGATGGAGGACTGTTGAGCTTACAATGATGGAGGACTGTTGAGCTTACAATGATGGAGGACCGAAGGGGGAAGAAAGGAGGAATGAGAGTCATCAGATACGGTCCATCGATTCTCACCGACTCTCACCCCTTCCCACGCCTCCTCACCCCTCCTCACCCCTCCTCACCCTTCCTCACCCCTCCTCACTCCTCCTCACCCTTTCTTCACGTTGTCAATTAGACGCACCACTTAGTACGTGCCACAAAACTGCTGTCCATCCCCATCCTGCCCTCACACCTCCTCACACCCAACCCCCTGCCCTCCCACCCTTCCGCACCCCTTCGCACCCCTCCTCACCCCTTCTCCCGGCTGTCGATCAGCAGCACCACCCGGTATGCCTCACAGAAGCGCTGCCCCTCCGCCAGCGGGGGCAGGCGAATGTCAGCTGTCTCCGCGAGAGAGAGGCAGGTGGGTGATGAAGATGGGGGGAACGTGGATAGCGATGGGCGGTAGGTGGGGAGTGGTGGGAGGTGGGCGGACTGTGAAGGAGAAAGGGGTGGTGCTGCAGAGGAATCGCGACAGTCAACTGGTCTGTCTGAGAGTTGTTGGCAAGGAGGGAGTGGTGCACGGGTGTAGGGGCAAGCAGTGTTAGAGCAGGGAGGGAAGGGCAAAGAAGGAAAGAATTCTGAGACGTCCAATTGGCAGGAAGCCATTGCTCACAAATACTACTCATTGCGTGCATGCACGCACCATTCACTGCATGCACGCACCATTCACTGCATGCACGCACCATTCACTGCATGCACGCACCATTCACTGCATGCACGCACCATTCACTGCATGCACGCACCATTCACTGCATGCACGCACCATTCACTGCATGCACGCACCATTCACTGCATGCACGCACCATTCACTGCATGCACGCACCATTCACTGCATGCACGCACCATTCACTGCATGCACGCACCATTCACTGCATGCACGCACCATTCACTGCATGCACGCACCATTCACTGCATGCACGCACCATTCACTGCATGCACGCACCATTCACTGCATGCACGCACCATTCACTGCGCGCAGCGATGCCAGAAATGCTGAGGCTTCAATTCCCAGCACTGCCTCTCCCTGTCCTGCTGCTCCTCCTCCACCTCTGCTGCTGAGTGGTGCTGGTGCTTCTCCTACCGCTGCTGCTGCTAATGGTACCTGTGCCCTTTGTTTTCGCGCTGCAGGCACATTCACTTCTGCTCCTGCTGTTCCTCCTACAGCAGCTACAGTCGTACCACCATCAGCAGCATTGATTGCTTGCCGCTTTTGACCCCTCCCTCTCCCTCTCCCACCCCTTGCAACTCCTGCCTCCTGCCCCCTAGCACGAGATTCGCCCCCTTGCTCCTCTGCGGTCTGCATGTGACGCACATATGCAATGCAAGAGGCATGGGGCTCAGAGCAGGAGGAGCGACGAGCCGAGTTTCAATTCGACTTGTTTGATGTGCCTCGACAATTGGTCGAGCTGACGTGACTAGAAACTATCGCCGTCGCCTCTCCCAACTGGAGTCGTAATCCTGCATCGCGTGGAGTGGAGTCAGCCTAATTGCCGTTCCACTTCACTCACTACCACTTGGCCCTGACTCGAAATGTCATGTCATGAGTGCATTGCGCCACACATTAATACTGGTTGAGCCACACAAATATTTCACTAAATTTGTTGAGCATACTGGTTCGGCCGCTGGCTGGCACGGACAGAGTAGCTCGCGCAAAGCCATGGGACGAGGCAGTTGCAAGGGCGAGTGGAGGGAGCAGCAAGGGCGAGCAGAGGGAGCAGCAAGGGCGAGCAGAGGGAGCAGCAAGGGCGAGCAGAGGGAGCAGCAAGGGATGAGGAAGCAGGCATGGGGAAGGGAAGGGACGTGCGGGAGGAAGGTGTGGGGAGGTTGGAATGAATTTTGAGGCACCTTACAACTAGGGTTAGTAGAGGAGTGGAAGAGAGGAGCGAATTGACTGAAGATCACCTGGTGTGTGGAAGAGAGGAGCGAATCACCTGTAAGGGTGCTTGTGGGGGAGCGAATCACCTGTAAGGGTGCTTGTGGGGGAGCGAATCACCTGTAAGGGTGCTTGTGGGGGAGCGAATCACCTGTAAGGGTGCTTGTGGGGGAGCGAATCACCTGTAAGGGTGCTTGTGGGGGAGCGAATCACCTGTAAGGGTGCTTGTGGGGGAGCGGCAGTGGAGGGCGTCAGAGAGGCAGACGACGGTGGCGTGGCTGACGGCTGCATGAGAGAGTCTGGACGTGAGGGGGAGGGGGGGTGGGAATGAAACAAAGCTACCATGGGAGGTGGCAAGAGGGAAGGCAGTGGCTGATGGTAGATAGCAGCTTTGAGTGGCATGTGTGGCATGGCATGGGGGTGAATGGTGGAAGGAGTGGGAGAATGAGGGGTTGAGAGGGAATTCTATTGCTGAGGGCTCTCAGAGATCGGCCGCGAGGGGTCTGGTCTTCATGGATTCATGGGTCGCATCCCATCCAGACACATGGAGCATAGGGCATTATGGGGCTTGGGGCATGGGGCGTGGGGTATGGGGCATGGGGCATGGGGCATGGCCATAGAGCAGAGGGGCAATCACTCACCATTCTCCCCTCCCACAACAACTGTCTCCTCACACACCCCTGTTCACTCACCCTCTCCCCACACACCCCTGTCCACTCACCCTCTCCCCACACACCCCTGTCCACTCACCCTCTCCCCACGCACCCCTGTCCACTCACTTTCTCTCTCTCCCACACACACACCTGCCTGCAGCCCTGCTCGCTCCATGCACATCTGTGCTGCCGCCACCCCTGCTGGTGTGAGGGAGTAGCTGAGAGATGAGCAGCACAGGGGTCGCAGAGGCAGGGGGCGCAGAGGCAGGGGGCGCAGAGGCAGGGGGCGCAGAGGCAGGGGGCGCAGAGGCAGGGGGCGCAGAGGCAGGGGGCGCAGAGGCAGGGGGCGCAGAGGCAGGGGGCGCAGAGGCAGGGGGCGCAGAGGCAGGGGGCGCAGAGGCAGGGGGCGCAGAGGCAGGGGGCGCAGAGGCAGGGGGCGCAGAGGCAGGGGGCGCAGAGGCAGGGGGCGCAGAGGCAGGGGGCGCAGAGGCAGGGGGCGCAGAGGCAGGGGGCGCAGAGGCAGGGGGCGCAGAGGCAGGGGGCGCAGAGGCAGGGGGCGCAGAGGCAGGGGGCGCAGAGGCAGGGGGCGCAGAGGCAGGGGGCGCAGAGGCAGGGGGCGCAGAGGCAGGGGGCGCAGAGAGGGGTGAGGGGAAGGTGGGTAGCGGGGGGTTGGGGAGGGCAGTGGGGGCGGAATCATGTGCAGCAATGAGCAGGGCAGCACGGGGAAGCATGGGGCGCACAGGGCGGCATGGGGTGGCATGGCCAGCACACTCACACAGCAGCACGGCCAGCACACTCAGAGCAGCAACATACGGCACTCAGAGCAGCAACATACGGCACTCAGAGCAGCAACATACGGCACTCAGAGCAGCACACTCACAGGGAGGGGCGACCTTTCTGCCAGTCCACCAGCGCGTGCTGCCTGAGCGTGGTGAGCGCACTCCAGCCGCAGTAGAAGTTGTGCCCCACGTGGGCGAAGGACTGGCACGGCACACCCCGACGCGGAATGGATGGACTTGTGTTGGGGCACACATTGGGGCAAATGTTGAGACGCACAGAGTAGGATGGGAAGACTTTTGAGGCGCATCAAAGCGTGTGGGGCCCCGTGGGGGAAGAACTGGCACGGCACACTTTGACGCGGAACGGATGGGCTTTTGAAGGGCACAGGGCGAGAGAAGAGCGGCACGAGAGAAGAGCGGCACGAGAGAAGAGTGCAGAAGCGAAAGAGAAAAGTTGAAAGGGAGGACGGCAACAAGGAGCTATCAGAGCATTCAAGCAATCTTCCACCATAATAAACTTGAGCCACGACATACACATGTCACACACACGGCACACACGTGTGCCATACACATGGCACTCACACGGCACACACATGCCATACACATGGCACTCACATGGCACACACATGCCACACAGATTCCACGTGGCATCACATCGTAGCACCTCAGAAACTCATCGCATGCCCATGCTCCGTTCTCTAACCACGTATGTTCACCTCACCCATCGGATGCAACACCCCCTTCTTCTCTCACTCCATCATCATACCGCCCATACCTCCCCCTCTCTCCCAACATGTCCCCCCTCTATCTCACCCCATATCCCCCCTTCTCTCAACCCATGTTCCTCCCTCCACTCACCGCATGTTGGTGTCTGTGAGTCCGCTAGCCTCCACTGCTGCTACCAGCTGCTTCTGAGGACTCTCAAAAGGCCCTCTGAGGACTCTCAAAAGGCCCGCCATGCAACTTTCTCTCCCACAGCAACCCAAGGGCCTCCCCCTCACCGCACGCCCATGCCTCCATGCCCCCCCTTCTCTCACCCTATGCCCCCCCTTCTCTCACCCTATGCCCTCACGCCTCTCACCGCATGTTGGTGTCTGTGAGTCCACTCCCCTCCACTGCTGCCACCAGCTGCTCCTTGTTCATCTTGCCCTGCCCCTGCTGCTGCCCCCTGCAAGTTCCGAAGAGGAGCAGCGCAGCAGTGGAGAAGGGATGATGAGGGATAAGAGGCTTCCTTTCCGCCCACTGCTCCTAGTACCAAAAGCAGCAGTAGGGACCGGGGAGAGGGGGGGAGGAGGGGGAAGGGATTGCCAGCAATGAAGCAAGATGAACACTGGAGGACGCACCTGAGCGGATCCGAGGAGGCAGCTGAGAAAGGAACCTGACGGGGCACCTGAGGAACCGGAAAAGCCACCTGAGGCACCTAAAAAGGCATCTGAGGAAGCACCTGAAAAGACATCTGGGGAAGCACCTGAGGAGGCATATCAGCAGCGCGTATGCCGCAGTCCCCTTCCGCGGAAGGTACAGCCCCCCGCGCTTCCCCCTCGTCTCGCCCTCCGCTCCTGTTGCCGCCCCGCCATCGTCCTCCGCCCTTCCATCCCTCTCCGAATCCCCCTCGTCCGCCCTTCCATCTCTCGTCGCCATTCCCTCGCGCTCCTCCCGAACGAGCCTCGCAGCTGAATCACGAATCTATTATCTCCCACTTGCTCCAGACACCCCTCGCTCTCACTTGCTATCGCGCGCCCTGCCTTGCGTTGCTGTGCGAATCACCAGCATTGCGCTTCTCTCACTCCCGCGCGCAACACTAGTGAATCCCCTCTCAAACGCTGCTACTAATTCGCGCTCAGTGGGCCATGCCGCATGTGCCGTCGTGAACGTCCTTGGATCGGCACGAGCCTAGCGCGGAGCAGCCAGGACCCGAATTCGCGAAAGAGTGTAACCAGAACTAGTGGCGAAATATAGAGAGGGTTTGCGAAACCGGTTTTCGATTTTAGCGGTTTAGGAGAAGGTTCACCATTGACCATCATTTTATTGGTGGATTTAGTGACCAGCATATAACTGTCATCACTACCAATAACTCATTCAGCAAAGGAAGTTGCCCCCAAAATACAACACTTTCTGACCATGATTTAATTCCTTATCACTATCAAAGGTCCACTGGTGATCCCCGATCGATCCTAGGGAAGGGTTACAGGCACGTTGGCCTGGGGGGTTATGGGCGCACTCACCCGCTATACAAACAAGCCCTTTTTGCGGAGATAACTACTACAACGGGAGCTAGACTACGGGCTAGGCACGGATGCTCGTGTGATCTCTGCGTTCGTTCGTTCCTTAGTCGTTTCCAAGTGCTCACACTACTTGCTAGTTCACAGGGAGAATTGGCAAGAGTTTCACTAGGAAAAGTTGACAACAATGGTACAATGAAGTTGGCAAGACTAGACTACATCAGAGCTAGCATGCAAGCAAGTCGACCGCAGCACGGTCGACCGCGTGCCAGCACGGCTTGGTCGACCGCGCTCCAGCAGTGCAGAGTCGCGGCTTGCCAATGCTGCAAGTCGACGGCGTGCCAACGTCGCTGGTTGACGGCGTGCCAACATTGCTTCCGCAGAACAGCAGTGCACCCGCTTCGCAGGTGCTCGCAGATGATTGGCGTGCAGTGCCTCGTCACCTGCACAGCGCACACACCAAGTCAACTTCGTGCTGACGACTGCTTCTGATCAGCCACGTCGACCTCGGGATACCACCACCGAGGTCGTCCTCGCCAACATTGTCTGTGCGACCGTCGCGTGCCTTCGCTGAACTTCGTCACCCAGGAAACCTGGTCAGCCAGGCAACCACGTCGACCAGCTGCTCCTGCGCGTGCCCGTCGACCACCAAAGTGGACGGCCACCCCTAGTCGACCTCACCAGGTCGACCACTGCCCCTGGTCGACCAGCTCGGTTGTCAGCCGACCACCCGAGTCGGCTACCCGAAGTCGGCGTCACCAAGTTGACGCCCTGCTACTCGACGCCTAGATGCTCGGCGTCCTGAAGTCGGCGCCATCCTGAAGTCGGCGCCCATGCAGTGGCACCCGTGCAGGTCGACTTCCTCGTCGACCAGCTTGCCCACTGCTGCAGGTCGGCTGCACCCCTACACCCGACCACGAAGTCGGCTCCGCCCAAGCGAGGACGGGGCCAACACACAACTCCCGTTGACACTCCCCTGCCGCGTTCACGCTTGGGCCCCCAGCCCACACGGCAGTACTTCTCGGAGAAAAGTTGGTCGACATGCACCCAACATAGAGTACGTCGTCCACCGCACCAGCCATGCAAGAGGGCATGGCACCTACTGCTGCACGTCGTTGTCGCCGTCACCTACGTCAGCCAAGCGCACTTGGCCGATGGCGACGGAGCACCGGTTGAAGGCCGGATAGTGTCGCGCCTTCGTCAGGAAGTCGGCCGGCTGCTCAGTGGTCGGGATGTACTGCAGCGAAAACTTCCCGCGCTTCACCATGTGCTGCAGCCAAGCCTGTCGCCGCTCCATGTGCTTGAGGTTGCCCGTCAACCTCATGCCCTCGGCGACTGTGATCGCCGACTTGTTGTCCACTCGGAGGACGGTCGGCATCCAGCTGCCGGAACTCTGCAAGGAGGAAGCGAAGGCGGCGTCCCTCCTTGCCGGCTTCGACGGCCGCCACGTACTCCGATTCGGTCGACGACAGCGTCGCGCACTTGATGCGCTGGCTCGACCAGGAGACTGCGGCCCCTCCGTAGACGAACACGTAGCCACCCGTGCTCGTCCGGTTCTGCTTGTCGCTGGCGTCGTCGGCGTCCACGTAGCCGACCAGCTCCAACGACTCTGGTCCACCGCCGAACTCCAAGGCGGTGTCGCGGGTGCTGGCAAGGTAGGCGAGGCAACGGTCGACCTCGCGCCAGTGCTGGTCGCTCCTCACCGTTGAGTACCCATGACATTCCTGTGCGTCCATCCTGCCTCCCCGCGAGTCCTCGTCACCGTGCATTGTTACTATCGGTGACGGACCTCCCAGCAGCGGCTGGCAACCGCATCCACACTCCCTAGCTCCGATTAGGGTTTCACACTAGCTCAGAGCCGAGCGTCCTTGGCCCGTTGTTCCTAGACGGGCACCACTAGCTGTTTCTAGCTCCTGACGCTCCTAGCTCAGTTTTGCTCCGTACCCCGGCCGTGCCTTGCTCCAACAGTGCCTCGCTCCAGCCGTGCCTCGCTCCAGCCGTGCCTCACTCCAGCCGTGCCTTGCTCCAGCCGTGCCTTGCTCCAGCCGTGCCTCGCTCCAGCCGTGCCTCGCTCCCGCCGTGCCTTGCTCCCGCCGTGCCTTGCTTCGGCCGTGCCTTGCTCCGGTCGTGCCTTGCTCCAGCCGTGCCTCGCTCCAGCCGTGCCTCGCTCCAGCCGTGTCTCGCTCCAGCCGTGCCTCGCTCCCGCCGTGCCTTGCTCCCGCCGTGCCTTGCTTCGGCCGTGCCTTGCTCCGGTCGTGCCTTGCTCCAGCCGTGCCTCGCTCCACCCGTGCCTCGCTCCAGCCGTGTCTCGCTCCAGCCGTGCCTTGCTCCAGCCATGCCTTTCTCCAGCCGTGCCTTGCTCCAGCCGTGCCTTGCTCCAGCCGTGCCTTGCTCCAGCCGTGCCTTGCTCCAGCCGTGCCGTGCTCCAGCCGTTTCTAGCGTGAGCTGCTCCTAGCGCTAGTAGTTTTTGGCCCGAAATTTCCGCGTTCTGCTGCTCCTACGCCCAGCTAGTCTTTACCGTGGCGTCTACAAGAGTTTTACAGCACCCGGAACAGCAGTAGCAGCAATTTCAGCAGTGGCGCCCTTAGCAGCAGTGGGGACCTGGTGATTCGGGCGGCGTTGGGTGCAGCAGCGGCCCAGCCAGCTGGGGGGCTTGTCGCGGTGGCCGCGACATCGGCCCCTACCAGTACCGGATCCTGACCGGACCTCGTGCTGGCACTACTTGCTGGCGTCCTGGCCACTCTGCACTGCGCTGCTACAGCCGCCTCGACGACCTTTAGCGTGAGCGTTTTGGGCTTGATTCTGTTCCGCCGATCTGGCCCTGTTTGTCTCGTAGTAGTTACCGTGTGTTTGATATGTCTATGGATGTTGTTTGTTATGTTACGTATGTATCTCTTGACTTGCGTGTACCTAGCTTGGGACCTTTGCATGTTGCTGGTATAGGTTCTTGTGCTTCTAGTGTAGGTGCTTGTGTAGTTACTAGTGCGGCTTTGACGACTGCCGACGCGTGTATCTCGTTCACGCTGGACTCTGGCGTGTCCCAGTGCCCTTTCCGCGATTACACCACTGTTACACCTCT